CTCTCTCTCTCTCTCTCTCTCTCTCTCTCTCTCTCTCTCTCTCTCTCTCTCTGTGTGTGTGTGTGTGTGTGTGTGTGAGACACCTTACCCACTCAGTTGCTCCCAAGGTAAGAGAAGAAAGAATCAGGAGTCAAAAGATACCTTGAAAGATTATAAGTAGAAGCCTGGTGTGGTGACACACACCTTTAATCCCAGCACTGAGGAGGCAGAGGCAGATGGATCTCGGAACAGAGTTCAAGGTCAGCCTGGTCTACATAATGAGTTCAACAACATTCAGAGCTGTAGAGGGAGTCTCTGTCTCAAAGAAAGAAAGAAAGAAAGAAAGAAAGAAAGAAAGAAAGAAAGGAAGGAAGGAAGGAAGGAAGGAAGGAAGGAAGGAAGGAAGGAAGGAAGGAAAAGGGAAGAAAAGAAGGAAGGGGAAGGGAGGAAAGGAAGGAAGGAAGAAGGAAAGAAAGAAAGGAACAAAGAGGAGAGAAAAGAAGGGGAAAGAACAAAGGGGGGTAAGTAGGTACAGATGTAAGCATCCAGGCTTACCTGTTTACCTCGCACACTAGGGCAGCCTGCACCTGCTGGATGGATAGGCACAGGCACACACATCCAGGTGTGCCAGGGCAGCCTGCCCCTGTTGGATGAGGATGGTCAAGACTGTAAAGGTAGCTCTCTGTCACTGTAACTGTTGGTTGGCCCTTGGACATCCTGCTGAACTAGTGTTCTCTCGTGTACCGCTCATTCCCATGACATACCGCCATTGTCCCTGAATAAAAGCTTCATCAAGCGCAGTCTGTGTGGCAGAGTATTTTTGTCCCCTGTGTGTCCACGAAGCTTTGTAAATGATGCTTGGAAGCAGCGGGCTACCCTTTCAGGCATTCTGCGATGATGTTAGAGGTGCGATGACCCAGTGTTGGTGCCTTTCCTTGTTGCCATTAGATCACCTGACCAAAGTGACTTGAGGAAGGCGTGCCAAGGCGGACAGTCCATCATGGCAGGGAGGCGTGGCAAGGCGGACGGACAGTCCATCATGGCAGGGAGGCGTGGCAAGGCGGACAGTCCATCATGGCAGGGAGGCGTGGCAAGGCGGACAGTCCATCACGGCAGGGAGGCGTGGCAGTGACAGCGACTCCCGGGGGGGCGGGGGGGGGCAGCTGCTCACTTTTCTTTTTTAAAATTCAGTCCATGAGTCCATGGGATTATGCCCACGTTCCCAGAGGGTCTTCCCTTCTTGTTGAGTCTCTCTGAAAATGCCCTCACAGGCTTGTCTCCTCGAGGCTTCTAAAGTCCATCAAAGGGACAGTCAAGATGAACCACTCCAGGGCCCCGAGGAGAGTGCTGAGCTGGAAAAACGCTTTCCTTGAGACCCGGAGTTCAATTCCCAGAGCCCATGTTTAAAAAACAAAAACAGAACAACAATAAAAACAAAGCCAGGCACGGTGGCATGTGTTTGTAACCCCTGTGCTGAGGAGGCAGAAACAGGATCCTCAGGACTCACTCGTTGGCCGGCTAGTCTAGCTGAACCAGCCATCTCCAGGTTAGTAAGAAATGGGGTCTCAAGAAACACGAGGTGGAGAGCTATTGGGAATGAGGCCTGAGGTTACCCTTTAGTCTAACCTTCAACCACACATATATGCACACATGTGCCCAAGTGTTCATATAGGCAAACATTCACATACATATTCGTTTACAGAAATACTTATTAGAATTTTATTATAATTGCTTTCCTTTGCAATACTACTTTATTATGCTTTTGAAAAACAACAGCTCTTTGAGTTGTTACTTAGAGGTCATGTGTCCTTTCTGGTGGTTTCCTTTGCCCAGCCTTGGCCAAGTCCAAGAGTCAAGAGGGACACAGACTCCCAATGCACCCCCACAGCTGCAGCTCCTGCCTGAAGACTTAGCAAAATGCTACACATGCATGCATACTCCCACTCCAACTCCCACTCCCACAGGTGAGATAGCCAGCCTGGTAATCAGCTTCTGGAACATTCAGCCCCTTCTAGGACAGAACAGTTTAGAATCTCCAGCACTCTTATAAAAGGCCAGGCATGGCTGCACATGTGCCTATAACCCAAGTACTGTGTGGGTGGGAACAGGAAGATGACTGCCAGCTGCCAGCCTGGCTCCAAGTTCAGTGAGAGACTCATCTCAAAAGAACAAGGCAAACAGTGATAGAGCAGGACTGCTGTGGAATAATCATCTTGTACACTGTAAAGATTTGTCACTCAAATTGGTTTAATAAAATGCTGATTGGCCGGTAGCCAGGCAGGAAGTATTGGGGGGGGGGACAACCAAACTAAGGATGCTGGGATGAAGAAGGGTGGAGTTGAGAGAGATGCCAGCAGACTTAGGGGAAACAGGATGTGTAGAAAATGAGGTAACAAGCCACGAGCCACATGGCAGAGGGTAGACAAGAAATATGGGTTAATTTAAAATGTAAGAGTTAGCTAGTAATAAGCCTGAGCTATCAGCTGAGCATTTATAATTTATATTAAGTCTCTGAGTCAGTTACTTGGGAAGCAGCTGCCGGTTATTTGGGAGCAGGTGGTCAGGACAGGAAAACTCCATCTACACATGACATCCAACAAACATCTTTCTTTGGCCTCCACAATCATATATGAATACAGGTATCTATGTACAACAGCAGGGTATGGACCTCTGGTTTCAGGAGAGGCAAGATGTGGAACCCAGATAGAAAGGACAGCTCTACTCATGCCTCTGTGGGACAACCTGGCCATGACCAGTCTTCTGTCCCCGTGTCTGAAACCCAGATGCCCACAAGGATCAGGGGTGTTCTGACTTTGGTCTTGTTTTTATGGAACCTCAAATTTCCATCTTTATGATGCATTTGTGTGTGTGTGTGTGTGTGTGTGTGTGTGTGTGTGTGTGTGTGTGTGTGCTGGAAGATGCCCCTTGCAGAAAGCCCACTGGGCTGTGTGGTTTACTTTCTGTCTTAGTTAGGGTTAGTATTGCTGTGATGAAATACCATGATAAAAAAGCAACTTGGGTGGGAGGGTTTATTTGGCTTACACTTTCCTATGACAGTTCATCATCAAAAGCAGCTAGGCTAGGAGCCTGGAGGCAGGATCTGATGCAGAAGCCACGGAGTAGCGCTGCTTACTGACTTGCTCCACATGGCTTACTCAGCCTGCTTTCTTTTAGAACCCAGGACCACCAGCCTAGAGATGGCCCTACCCACAATGGCCTGGGCCCTCCCTCATCAATCACTAAGAAAAGGCCTGGGCCCCTGAGCCAGCGGTGACTGACCAACTCAACTACCATCCGGGCTCAGATCCAGTGCTTTGAGCCAGTTCACCCCAACATCTACCCAATCTACGAGCTGCTGGAGCGCATGAAGAAGACAGTTATGCAGAACCAGAGTTGCAGGATCACCATGACTACGGCAACAGCAGAGTATCTGAGACAAGTCTCAGCCATGGTCCAATGTTTATGGTGCTTTAGAAACCAGAAACTTTGAACCAGACCAAAGACTCGATGCAATGAATATTTGCATGCAAAGCTGTCTGGGATTTATATATATATATATATATATATATACACACTGCAGTTTCCAGTGCCATTACGATGAAGAAACGTTCAATGGAGAGGAGGGAAAGATGGAGAAACAGAGCAGTGAGTGGTGGAGAGCGGTGGAACTAGAGACACCATGGCAGTAATAGGTGTGAGAGAAGCCTGTGGTAGATAGGGGACATGTCCTGGCCAAGCAGAGCCAACAGGATGGTGTGCAGCAGCCTGGGGCTTGCACCCTGATTAAACACTGCTCAGCTGCACAATCACCCTGGTTCTGAGCAGCAACAGGATGTCCAAGATGAAGAACAGTTCATTTTCTGGATTGGACCTCCTCAAAAAACCTCTATGGCTTATGCTGTCCTCGGAGGCCACTTTAGTATCCGTGGTCTGCTGATCCTAACCATACTGAAAACCAAGGTTCATGTGGATGTCTCTAGTCCTACAGCAGCTGGGAGCTGTGTTCATGTCCCTGGCCCTACCACCTAAAGTCATGTTGATGTCTGGGGGCCATGCTGCCACTAAGGGTCATGTCAGCATCTGTGGTCCTACTGCAGTTGGGTCTGTGTCGGCAGCAGTAAGTTTGCTGCCTTAATCTTAAATGCCCCTTTTTGTCCTGTCCCAGTTAAGTTGTTTGTGTGAAAAATGTGCAGTTGG